TTTGTTTGATTTTTATATTCAATCATCATTATAAGTATTCCAAAATATTTAAAAACACCCTTCGAACTATTAACCCTCATAATCACATTGAGCTCCTCTTTAGAGGTCCTCCTAGTGTGTGATATATCTTTCACCAGATCACTAGAATGTGTGCTAAGTTTCTAAAATTTCTTTAATGGAAGACATGTTAGTTAATTCAGCCCAGCAGACAACATGGAAATATTCAAGTCAACTATTTTTCAATATTTTTATCAGCTCTTTGTACAATTTCTATTAAAGCTGGTAAGAATTCCATCTCAATATTTGCATTTGACACACTTGTATCCTTTTGACATATCAAAATTCTATTTATCTTTTTTAGCAATCTTTATATGTTTCTATGGATTTTTTTCCATTCTAATCTAAACAACTTTGTTTCTCATTTGAGAAAATTTGGTATAATCTTAGAAAGAAAATTAAATTCTAAGTATTGTGAAGGTTACACTGAATGTATTCTTCGATACCTTATCTTTGAAGTTGTGCCCTTGAACCTGAGGTTGCTCTCACATGTTTTCTTACCCTGTTTTTGACTTACTAACTTAGAACAATCTTGGCAGTAGTAATGCCCCTGTACAAAAAGGTGTCCCTTCTTCTGTGTTTGATCATCATCCCAAGATGAATATCTGGAGATTTTTTTACCTTTTACCCTCACTTTTACAGATTGCTTTTATGAAGATGAATCCAGAACCCACCACACTGATTTAATTAAGACAATATACCGACTTTGATGGTCCTTGTGTCTTATTATAAACTCAGTAAATATAGTCATCCTTGGAATAAAAGTCAAAATAAAAATCAAGAAGTATGTGAAATTCTGGACTGAAGACACCAACTAAGAATAATATCAGACAAATCAAACTGCATGATATGGAATTTAAATAGTATGCTGAAAAAAAAGATCTGGTATACCATCAATTATTGAACTGCACTTCAGCAATTGCTGATGAATCTTTAACAGGTTTATTATCTTTTTGGTGTAATCTACCAGATAGACACCACATATCAGTCCTAAAGTTCCTCTTAGGAGAATTACAAAGTTTAAGTGACAATTACATACTTATTCAGTCCTATAATCAAATAACTGACAGCTTTAATAGTGAGCTAACAAAACCAGCAGTAGATGAAAAACAGCTTAGGAGTGTGAGTTTGCATGCAATGACAAGTCTGACAGAGGAAAAAGCAAAATAATTTGACTATGTTTCCATCAGGTAAGAGGGGGGGTTGCATCTTGATAAACAGGGGATATAAGATGAAAAACCTCAAATTCCAAAACTGTATTCTCTAAACTTCAGAGAGCTTAACAAAGAGCCTTCATTGTATGCTGAAAACAGAAAGAGTTAAGATTGTCTATGACATCTTACCGTGGCAAAGCTAAAAATTTGAACAAGTTATTTGGAGATTGCACAGAAAAGTTTAAATATCTTAGTTTTGCTGGGTTTTTATTAAAGATCCACCTTGGAGAATAATAATTCCATAAGTGAACCATTGCAATAAGAAAGATAAGAAGCATGGTCATTTGTATTTCAGCTTTTGTAGGCAGAAGAGCACTCCAGTCTTTTAGAATTTTTGATGAAGTTTGGACAGCTGCATTTTGTATTGCAGTTATTGCTGTTCTAATGCTTACTTTTGGCCCTGTAAAGGGATTCCTTTTCCTTAATAACTTAAATGTCCTTCAGATTCTCATGTTAGACTAACAAAGACATTGAGGGATTTCTGGAACTAATATCCAATACAGCAAGAAGTACACAGTCTAGTTTAAGCCTGTAAATAAGTTTGTGTTGAAACTGATGAAATTATGTTGAAATTAATGAATTTAGAAGTATTGCTAAGTTCGACAGACTGATGAACCAGGACACTCATTCACAAGTAGAAAACAAAGACCAAGAAATGCAAGGAATACATTGCAGTACAGTGAATTTTTGATTACAAAAAAATTCCAAACCCCAAAGGCCAGAAAAACACATACATAGGGTTTGTGGTTGGATAATTTTTTATTATTGTTCAGCAGGTGGTTTTGTTTCTCTTCCATTACCTTTTTGTTATAGTTTACTCATATTGTACTAATTAACTTCCTATATATATATATATATATACACTTGAGTTTGGGGCAAGCTGTTTGGTTTTCTTTTGTTTTTAAAAAAGATCACTAATACTAACCACGTTTTGAACAAGTTTAGAACTGATTTCTAAGACTGCATGGTTCAGCTGCTGACCACCTGGGTGCCCTTTCAGCGCACTGAAGTCTAACACTTATTCACACTGTTGCAGTGCCAGAACTCAGCTGCTCCCACAGATTGAAACTGTGGGGAACCCAGGGCAGAGAGACTAGTTGGAGAAGTTATTGGATTATTTCTAACACCTCTCATTTCTCTTTGCTTTCGGCTGAAAGGAAGATGGTCTGTGCCCTGCTGAGACAGTGAGATCCGTGCTGTGACCTGGGCATATCCACACAAGAACAGAAGTACAGAATTTCTACATTTATAGCAGTCAACTATAAACTTATAAAGCCCTTCATATTTTTGATTGCCTTTCTCTGAAACTGATATTATAAAAGGGAAAAAAATTACTTTGATGTCTGTCTGTGAGACCTGATATCTTTTGATGCCTTCAAACACTTCGGCAATATCAGTCATGAACATGTGATAGTAGAGGCAAGTTGTTTATTGGTGTGCAGAATAGACAGCTACAATTCCCTGAGTAAAGATAGCAGTTCACATAAAAGCAACTGAGATTTATTAGGCTAAAAAACTATTTCTTCAACTACCAGAAGAGAGGAAAAATACAGATTCCTCCTGCTAGTCAGATTTTTATTAGAATTGCATTTTTAACCCTACACAGTCAAAAACCCAAGACATTTACTCCATGGAATAAAGTCATTGCTAAAGTTAGGGGATCTTTTCTGCAGAGAAGAAGGTTCCAGATTCGGCCAATGATACAGCTGAAAGGAAGGGGGCGGGTATGGACACCACGGAACAAGCACTATGACAACATTTTTGCACGTTCTTAAGTGAGATCACCTCCAGCACTTGCGTGTAATCAAGAAAGTGCCTACAAGACACCACTATGGAGGAATTCCCCAAGTCCCTTGTACAGAACTTGGCATGCTCGGCTGCCTCTCATACTGCTGCATGACGTAGGGGAACAAGCACATTGAGTTTCCAAAGCTGTATTCACTTTGGGGTAACTGTGCCTAAGTCTTTGGGACAAAAAACCTGACTCAAATGCTAGCTTCCAACAAACTCCATAGCAAAGGTGACCTTTTCATTACTTGGCTTGTGAAACTATAGGCAAAAAATGGAGCAAAACTCCATGATATGCCTGCAGCATATGCTTATGTCATTCTCATGGGAGCACACAGGCGTGTGAACACCTTTTTTTATAAGTTTTTATGTAAAGGAAGTCAAGAATCACAGAGCAGACTGTGTACTCTGTATTGCTATATCATGTAGTTGGTAGTATGAAATAAAATAAGACAGAATACTGCAAAAAAGCAGAACCATAATAAAGTACTTTTCTTTGCTTGTGCTGTTTTATCAATTTACTTAATAATTTATTTGCTTGGATTTCCATACTTGTGATATTCTGCTAACCCAGGTAATTATGCATCAGAATACGGGACAATCAGAAACAGATGTATTTATGTCTCAACATGGTGTCAGCTTACAGATCTTAAACAGTTTTACCAATTTGCCAAAAGATGCATATATTACATTATTAGGAATTTCTTTCATTGGAAAGACAAAAAAAAATGAAACTGAAATGCGATATATTTTACACCATGTACTTTTTGAAAAAAGTGATAATCAGGAACTCTCAATTGCCCTCTAAAAAAGATTTCCTCCCCAGGGTTATATTTTTTCCTTTATTGCTATCACAACATGAAGGAGTGAAAGTGTCAGGCAGAGCCATAGGGACTCTTGTGCATGTGTCCTGCCTCAGTTTGATGCCCATGCCCTGTGAAAAATACCTTTTTGTGGCAAGATCATAGAATCATAGATTAGTTTGGGCTGGAAGGGAACTTTAAAGGCCATCTAGTCCAACTCCCCTCAGTGAGCATCATTTGACCATCATTGACATCAACTCGATCTGGTTGCTCAGAGTCTGATGTACAGCATCACGCTGCCCACGCCCTGCAGTGGGATAAGCCCGCAGCCATCCAGGCAGTGAATACTGAGCTCTCAGACCCAGCACGACCAGCAGATGCCACCTTCAGTTGAGATTTTTCTCCCCGTCGCTGCACAGCGATACCTCGAGACGAGATGTGACTTCAGGTAGTTGCACAAATCTCTTTTCAGCGCTCCAGCACTTTTAAAACACCCTCTCTGCGGTTCACGTTACCTGTCGCTTGCTGCCTAGATCGAGACGGTCCACTCTCAGGATCAAGCTAAGGAGCGTCACCGGCATCCCTCTCCTGCAGGGACCCGGACCCGCACCCCCCCGCTCCGGGAGTCGCACCACCGTAGCCGGGCTGGCAGAGGTCAGTGCATCTTTTCTCTCCCTCCAAATCGCTCTGTCCCATCGGGAAGGGGGGTATGTTTTGCTTTTTCGGGAGCATACCAAAGACAGCAGCTCCCCCGAGGGCAGGAACCCCGTGGTTTGCGGCCCCCTGGCCCAGAGGCACTGCCCAAGGACGGTGGGGACAGCGACTGGGTGGGACCGCTGTGTTCCTAGGTGAGCGCTGTCACCTTGGGCTGGTTGTCACTCCGGGGTACTCTGAGACTGAGCGCTGACCCTGCACGGTACTCGCCTGTGTGGGAGGAGGGAAGGAGCAACAGGTGGGACACTTCGCCCTTGGTGATCTCCCTTTTCTTCCATCAGATTCGCAGTGGGCAGCATATGTGACTTTTGTGGTTAGATGTGCCAGAGGAGACAACTTTGAGAGAGCAGGGGTCTTGCCTTTTTTCCTTCCCCTTCCAAGTCATCCTCATCACCAACAAGCCTGGCCACCCTCTCCTGTGGTCATGGAGAACTACTCCTTCCCTGAGACCAATTCCTCATGTGCAGACTGCACTGTGAGAGAGCATGGGGATCTGAATATGTCCACTTAGTCCCAGGTTCTACGTCACAGTGCCTGTCATCTACTCAGTCATCTGTGTCGTGGGGCTGACAGGCAACACTGCTGTCATCTATGTAATCCTCAAAGTGCCAAAGATGAAAACAGTAACCAACACCTTCATCCTCAACCTGGCCATCGCTGATGAGCTCTTTATCCTGGTGCTACCCATCAACATTGCTGACTACCTGCTCCTGCAGTGGCCCTTTGGAGAGTTCATGTGCAAGCTCATCATTTCTATAGACCAATACAACACTTTCTCCAGCATCTATTTCCTCACTGTCATGAGCATTGACCGCTACCTTGTTGTGGTGGCCACGACCAAGTCCAGGAAGATGTCCTACTGCACCTACCGAGCAGCCAAGATTGTGAGCCTTTGTGTCTGGTCCTTTGTCACAGTCATCATCCTGCCCTTCACTGTCTTTGCTAAGATACACAAGGAGCAGGGGCACTCCCAGTGTGTCTTTGTGTTCCCCCATCCTGAGAGTGCGTGGTGGAAAGGCAGTCGGATCTACACCCTTATTTTAGGCTTTGTCATCCCAGTGTCCACCATCTGCACCCTCTACATCACCATGTTGTGCAGACTGAGACATATGCAACTCAATTGCAATGCAAAAGCTCTGGACAAAGCCAAAAAAAAGGTGACGATGGTAGTTGTCATCTTGGCTGTGTACCTGCTCTGTTGGACACCCTATCACCTTAGCACAGTGGTGGCCCTCATCACAGACATCCCACAAACTCCACTCATCACTGGGATTTCCTACTTCATCACCAGCCTAAGTTATGCCAATAGTTGCTTCAACCCTTTCCTGTATGCCTTTCTGGATGACAGTTTCCGGAGGAGCTTTCGCAAACTGATAGATCGCAGAACCACCTCATAAAACCAACCCTCTGTCTCCTCATATGTACCTCCTACAGTCACCTGCTTTTCCTGGGTGATTCCAACTCAGAGAATGCTTTCTCTGCAGCCTCCTTGTGATTGCCTACAAGTCTTCAGGTTACCTCACTACCCAAGACATGAACAGGGAACAAGTGTATCTTTCTCAACTGTTCTGCACTCATTTCTGTAGCATTGCTTTCCTTGCTATTTTTTCTTTTTCTGATTTTTATTTTCATTTTCATTTTCCTTTTTCATACCTTCTCTCTAACGTGCTTTCTGACCTAGGTTTGTAGCACACAGAGCTGCAGCAGGTCCCTTTTCCCTTTTTAAAGGTATTGCTTTGTGAACTCAAGCCACATGACTGTCTCAGTTACTGGTGATTTGTAAAGCCCAATAAAGGTATGTTACAGTGTCTTGCTTAATGATTCCTCAGCCTCTTTCCTATCCATAGGACCTACTTACCCAACGTCTTGCAAACTTACAATAATTGAAAAAGGCACAACTCCAAAGAATAAGGAACAAACCAAGATATTGAGCTCATTTCATTTTACAGAGGACTGAGATAAGGTAGTCAAAATCCATGAAAATAGATAAGAGAGACCTCAGTCTGGCTTTAAGGAAGAAAAAGCATGCCCTGACTAGTGAATAAAACACACAGATGTGGGTTTGGAGCCACTTGCTCTGGAAAATAACAGTGCACTTGGTGGTTGTAGTTTGTAAAACCTGCAGCTTTTGTTTGTATCAGAGGTGATGATTACTTTATTATTTAGTGTTTATGGTCCATCTTGTTGCACATACAGTTGGGTTTTTTTATTTTTGGTCCTAGAAAACAGAATCAGAGAGTATTTTCAGAACAAGTTAACATTTAAGGATTTGAAAAATTCATAAATAACATATGCAGTGGTTAGGTTAGTTTTAAGCTATCTCTCACACACTTGTATTCTGGCTTGGGTTTTTTTTTTTTAAGATTTATTAATATTTCTCTCAAGGAGAAGAAGTGAAATGAAAAAAATAAAATTTAAAAAGAAAACACCTAAAAGATTATGTAAATTTTATCTGAAGGAGGACAGAGAGGGTGAACGAAAGTTTCACTAGAATTCACATATTCAACACTGCATGAGGAGGTTTATTCCTCCTATCTCCTCTTTTAGCCCTCTAAGGAAAACTAAAAAAATGTGGAAGACCAAGAAAATATTTGCAGTCACTTAACATTTGTCATCTAAGTGGTCTTCCCTGCTCTTCCCTGCAGCAGATGCTAAATCACTGTAACACAAATTTTGTTAGATATTTTCCCCTCCCCTGGATACAGAGAGACAAGGAAGTGTGGCTAAGAAATCGCATTTCCACAGGAAGGGATGATGAGCTTCAGGAAGTGCATAAGGATTCATGTGATACATCCTCAGGTTTGCAGGTGCCTCCTGAAAGCCCTTGCACCTCCCACTGATGCAGTCTAAAGTTCTACCATAGGCATGTGCAAAGTTTCTTCGGCTAAATCCTTCTGAAGAAGTTCCAAATGAAAATTTTACTTGCAGATTTTAGCAATTATGCAAATCCTGGTACATTATAATACCATATAACCGGGTTGATTACTAAATCATTTCTCCTTATAAGACATTAATATTCTCTGAGACAGTTAGTGCTAAATTCATTATCCAGTCTAGCTGTTATGGAAATGGAAGGTTTCCAACAGTGTCTAGTTCTGCTTCATTGGAGGGTGTATGATTGACTTCCATCAGACACAGAAGCTGGCCTTTGAAAGAGCAAGACCAAAATGTGTCAATTACCCATTCCCACATCACGTGCGAAAACGTGCTTCAGGAACCAGAGTCCCACACTTCATCTTTCCGACTGAAACAGAAGGTAATTAACTTTTCCCACCAGCTGTCTGGTGGTCAGTCACTTGCCATGGAGAAAGATGTTAGTCTGTGTGAGCTGAATAGCAAAGCCTCTCCTTGTTTAGGCTGCTGGTACACACAGCCATGTCTCTTGTATTCTTAAGTCATCACTTTCATAACAACATTACTTGTGTAAAGACTGCATACAGTTTAAAAAATAAACAGTATTATTCTCAGAAAAGGGTTGTTGTTCCCTCATTTGTTGTGATCCTTCCCTGAAGACTGAAGAATTCCTGTGCTCAATTCCTCTTGTCCATAGGGCAAAATATGAGAAGTATTATCCACTAACAAATTTCACTTCAAAGTATCTTGAACTGCTTGTCTTTTTTCTATCATAAACATAAAAATGCAAACAGAATATCACCTATGGTAAGCACAATCCTTCCCTAAATTCCTTCTCATTATGGAACCATCTTACCTGTTCCTCATAGTAGGATGAACAACCAAGAAGAATCTGTGTGTCTCAAATGTCTGGAGTTTTCCTAGAGTTGTTAGTCGCAGAACAGGCTGAGATTTGAGCAAGAGCCCACCTCTGACATGGGTACTCATCTAAATTTCATGCATTGAGCAGGACTCCCCTTGCACAGCTGTGCTGTCTGTGGTGTCCATGACATGTCTGGGAGGTGGAACTGGAGCTTATCCTATTGCAGGCATTGCAGATTGGTATCCACTTGAAGGAGGAAGCTGAGCCTGGAGAACCTGGGGAGGGTGTTGAATGGTAAGTAAGGCCCCCTCTCATCCTGAAGAGCTTCAACATTAAAACAGGTGATACCCAGTTCTCCTTCCATCATATGCCCTTTTGGTTTGGGAAACAGAACATTCTCAGCCTAAATGTGACCAAATCCAACATTCAGCAGGAAAGAGGGAGGTTTGACCTTCAACACTGCTGGTCAGCAAGGATGACCTGATGCTGTATAGCAGCTAAACTTTGGCTTCTGGAGCAGCAATAACAAGGAATTTGCTCCCCTTAAATATTTCTGATTTCTTTTTATTTTTTTTCCAGAGGAGTAATTTATGCTCCTGTTCAGACCATGCCTCACCAACTATAATGAAATTTAAGAGTGTCACATTGTAAGACAGTATAGTTGTTGTAAGGAAGTATTTTATTTATATGAAAATGAGTAAAATAAAAATAAATCCATTTTCCCCAGAGCGTAAATCTAACTTGCCACTGATCTTGCAGATATTTGATACGGACTTCCTTCCAGAAGGAAATCGGAGAAAAGAGAAATCAGATTATATAATTAAATAGAATAGAATTTCTTTTTTTTTAAGGTGAATTTTTTCATGGTATTGAAGTGGGAATGAGAGAATTTGCTGTCAGGCTATTGCTATCCTGCCTGATGGAAGTTGCTTTAGGTGCACTTTAACCTAACAGCAACTACTTTGTAGGTTCCCTGGTAGGTGAGACAGGCCAGGAATGAAAGACTAAGCCTTCTCAGGGCTGAGACAAAACAGCTTTTTGTAGACTGTCAGCATCAAATCTCCTCAATACCTTGGCGTCTAAAACACACACACTCCTTTTCATGAGCATATCCCTATAGTCTATATGTAGCAAGCTATGGAGACCCAGAGAGTAACCGTGTGTGACAACCAAGCACCCCTTCAGCTAGGAACCCTGAGTGCATGTGTCCCTCAGTGGCTAAAACACATTCTCGGAGCTGTGATTAAAGATATCTGGAAAACTAGATATTCCTTCAGGACCACGAGTTCTCTCTAAATTATATTTAAAAATCGCTCTTCATACTTTCTCAGCAACAGCACTGTTGCCTGGCTATTCCTGAGCCAGCTACCCCAAACCCATAGCTGAGGTTGACCACCATCGATCTCTGTGCTTTCTTTGGACTCTTTTGGCAGATTGCACTGACACCAGAGGATTTAGGCAAGTTTCTGACTCAGCTCAGGTAAGCTGGCATAGTGGAAGGGATCCATCGTGCCATGGGATGTTTCATGTTCCAGATATGTTGGCCAAAGCAGCCTTCAAAACGTACATCTTCCCTATCATCCCTATATCACTTACTCGTTAAGTTTTGCACCTCTATCAGTTGTATTTTAGAGACTTTCAAGCATCTCTCCAAGTAGTTTTTCCACAGCATAAAGTTGCTCTGAAGTCAGGAGCAGCACATCAGCAGGAAGCAGGCAGGTTAAGGGAGGAATACACAGAGCCAAAGGAGAATGGATCAAAGGGTGGTTAGAGAGAAAGATCAGAAGGTTTATTCAAAAGCACTTTCCTGACCTAACAGTGGTACTGACATGTACACATATCAATATGTCATGAAACTCCAAAATCCAGGTTCAAGAAGTTCTCACACTGAGTTCTACCAGGAAATTCAGGGTCTGCTGCCTAATTCCTAATTCTGAATAGTTGATTCTTAGAGCATGTATATTCATTATTATATATAACTATATAATACTTAATAGGACACAAAACATTATGCAATTATTTCCTGGCTTACTTTCAGGCTGCCTGTCACTGGTGCAACAAGCTGAAGTCTTAAAAATGCTCTCCACGAGCACGGCTGTGACATGGGCAGATTTGTGATCCCTGTAGTACATATGGACATTTCCCTGCAGCTGCCTCTGGTTGGGCACATCCGTCAAAGGAAAGTTCATCTTCAGAAAGGAACATTTTTTTTTCATGAAGTAACATTTTGTTTAGATTTATCCTGCAAGCTAAACCAAATTCATCTAAAAATTTTTTGAATTCTTAGATGTTTCTAAGAACCAATTTCCTTTACTTGTCTCCTAAGAATGTTTCCAGTTTCTGTTCTTTTTAATCAACTAAGTGATAATTTTTTTCTAATAAAACTTTTGAGAGCAAAATGTTCCACACTTTTCTTGTGCCTACTCAAACTAAGTACTCCCATTTCTAAAGCAAATTAATACTCTCTTTTTAAGTCTAGTATTTGTAGAAAGATTTATGCCATAAGGACTTTCTCTTAAATGAAGAAAGCACCAGTTTTACCCAGTTATATTTGAGCAGATGGAGTTTTTCTCTATGAGTTCAGAAGTTCTGGAATTTCCAGAGCCTGGAAATACAGTAAACACTCCTTTTCCAGAGACTATTCGTACGGGGGCCTAACAATTTCAACTGTATAACTAATTCAATGGCATGACAGCCAAATTCCTGGAAATAAAACATAATTAGATTAATTGATAGTTAATCAAAGAGATTAAAGGATCTGATATTCACACAGTGCAGGCAGCAGATGAAGCAGCAGCTTACAGGCTTGAATTTAACAGACTAACATTGAGTCTAACATCGACATTGTTTTCTAACATACACAGCACAACATGCAGCTGGCAACCCCCCCACGTGTTTACATATGCAATGTAGACAAGGTTTTGTTGTAAATGATTGCTATTCTTTTGCTCATTCTGGTAAGCAGCTGCTTATATGAGCAGCCCAGTCATGAGAAGGAAATGATTCCATTCTCAACCCTGTGTGAGGGTTCGCTGCTCACCACTATGAGTAAGGATCTTGCAGACAAACCCATCCCAGTTACAGTGGTCCCCAGCCCCCTCGGC